CTTAACTCAGAGTAACTTTTTTGGGCCTCAGTTGGGCCTGGGCCTTGGCGGTGGGCGGTTTGGGCCTCGGGCGGTGGGTTGAGCCTAGGGCAGGTGGTTTGGGCCTCTGGGGGCCTGTGTGTCAGCGACATGGGGGACCTGGACTTCGGCGGCTTGGCAGAGGGGTGGCCTAGAACGGGCAGTAGAGGGCTGGGGGTAATGGCTGCAGGGAGGTAGTGTCTGTATTTGATGGTGTAAAAGATGCCTCTCATCTCTCTGTACCGTGGGTACCCTGAATTTCCTGATATCTGCACCGATATCCCTCTCTATTTGTTCGGCTTTGTTAGTTTATGCTTCCTTTTCACTGGAAATGCAGCCTTCTAAGTGACGTTGCTCTAGTCCTGCATTCCAAGGTCTGCAGGGGGCAGAGGCACTCACTGGCACAGGCACGGAAGCGGGAGCCGCGTGCAGGCAGGCAAAAGCTCAAAATGCCTGTATCTCCTCAGTAATTTGATCTTTAAAAAAAACGAGTTCAGAATGTTGACATATAAGATCTTATGTTTGTTCAAAGGCTGTCTGTCTGCTAGACAGAGGTTTGCTATGTGCGATTCCGCCCCTTTTCCCCTAGACTGCCCTACCTGGGCTGCCTGGTCAGGGAAGCGCTGCTCTATCTACTCCCTATTCTTCTTCTTAAGCAGTGCTTTGCTTATGCTGGGTCTCTTTCCATATAACGTTAGTAATTGTTTTTTCCATCTCTTTGGAGAATGTTGGAATCTGGATTGGGATTGCATTATATGTGTAAATTGCTTTGGGCAGTATTGACGTTTTCACAATGCTACGTCTTCCTATCCAGGAGCGTTTTTGTTGGTCTCTTTTGGTTTCTTGTAGTAGTGTTTTGTAGTTTTCTTTGTATAGGTCCTTTGTGTTCTCTGGTTACATTTATTCCTAGATATTTCATTCTTAGGGTGGCTATTGTAAATGGTATTGCTTTCCTAATGTCCTTTTCAACACTGTTGTTTTGGGTATAGAGGAATCCAACTGATTTTTGTATGTTGATCTTACATCTTGCCACTTTGCTGAATCCTCCAATGAGGTCTGGTAGCTTTTTTACTGAGTATTTGGGGTTTTCTATGCATAGGATCATATCATCTGCAAATAGTTTTACTTCCTCTTTACCAATTTGGATGCCTTTAATTTCCCTGTCTTGCTATATAGCTCTTTCTGACTTCCAGCACAATATTGACTAAGAATGGTGACAAAGGGCATCCTTGTCTGGTTCCTGTTCGCAGAGGGAAGGCTTTCAGTTTCTCTTCATTGAGAGTAATGTAGGCTGTTGGTTTTGTATTGTTGTTGTTCTTTAGTGCCATCGAGTCAATTCCGATCAATAGCGACCCCGTATAGGGTTTCCAAGGAGCAGTTGGTGAGCTTGAACCACCGACCTTGCAGTTCAAATGACTTTGCAGTCTGACACATTAACCCACAGCATATATGCTGTTAATTATGTTGTGAAATTTCCCTTCAATTCCTACTTTGTTGAGGGTTTTTATCAGGAATGGATGTTGGATTTTGTCAAATGCCTTTTCTGCATCAATTAATATGATCATGTGGTTCTTTTCTTTTTTCTTATTTATATGGTAGATTACATTGATCATTTTTCTAATGTTGAACCATCCTTGCATCCCGGATATGAATCCCACCTGATCATGATGTATTATCTTTTTGATGTGCTGCTGGATTCCGTTGGCTGGGATTTTGTTGAGAATGTTTGCAGCTATGTTCATGAGGGATATTGGTCTATAATTTTCTTTCTTTTTGATGTCCTTCCCTGATTTTGCTTGCTTGTTAAGACTGCTAACCGCAAGGTTGGCAGTTTGAAACCACCAGCCATTCCACGGGAGAAAGATGAGGTGTTCTGCTCCCGCAAAGATCCACAGCCTCAGAAACCCTGTGCAGGGTCACTATGAGGGGGAACTGACTCCACCGCACTTAACAAGCAAGCAAGTCTGTACATTGATTTATTTTAATAAGGAACTATTCTGATTATAGTTCGGCCTTTCCCCCTTAACATACTGCTTTTGATGATATCTCTAAACTTTACAGCAAACCTTAATTAAGGTTTATTAAATACTTAATAATTAAATACTTAAATCTTAGGCAGCAAAAACAAACAACATTCTAGTCCTGTTTCCTGAAAGTAACTACAATCTCTATTCTTAAAAAAATTTTGGGTTCTTCTCAACTAGAGGAAGATAAAAAAAAAAAAAAAAAAAAATTTGGATAAAGGTAACAAGTGTAAAATTGCTACAATTTGATGAACTTGACCTGTACTTACGGATTTAGTAGCTCAAAATAAAACCAACTGAGAGGGAAAGAGTCTTCACATCAAGTATCAATCATATCTCCTCTGTATATAGGACTAATAGGGACAGGCAACTTAAACACTGGCTATCTAAAATAGGGGGGCAGGTGTTATAAAGGCAAAGTGATTGGCTTACAAGTTTTCAAGAAGGAGTTTAGTTTCAGAGTGTGCGGGGGAAGGTAGAATCTCCACTGAATAGTTTTCATCTTGTCTAGACAGGTCTGGTGAAAGGAGATTGGAGGTAAGATTCTTATAATTCAATAGTAATTATTATCATGACTAATTGCGACTGTCATAATCGTATGGTAGAAGTTTTGTAACAAAAAGAGGGAGTGGTTAATCTTATAGTCCAGGACAAGAGGCCCCTAGGACCATCAAGGGAAAAGACCACAAGAGGAATGGGGGACCCTATCCAGAGAAGCAGTGACACCAGAGATGAAGGCATAGAGAGATAGAGCAGCTGAGGACTCTAGATTCATGGAAAGAGAAAGGCTGTGTGCTGGCAGCCAGGAGGCAGGCTTGCAGAATGTGGCCTTCAGTTGTTTAAATTATTATATATTCATGAGTGTTTTTGTGTTCATCCCCAAAACAAAACAAAACAAAAGAGGGAAGAGAAGCAAACACTGTTGAATGATGATGCACGGAGGGCATTGTAGTCATTGCAATGAAATCATGGGTGTAAAACCCATGTTCTCCCATTTGAACTATCATTCAATTCAAGTCACAATAAAAACTTAAAAAAAAAAAGAAAATATCGGTTCTTTATTGAGTACCCATTAAATGTGTTACTAAGGGGGTTTCATTAATTTCTTGAAGCTCCCTTATATCTTAAAACTGAACTTCTTGAAGCCCCCTTATATCTCAAAACTGAACATCAATCATACTTATCTTTTTATTTAAAGTCTGTGATGGCACTTGAATGAGAAATTGTAAAATAAAGGCCTTGCCTTGTTGCATGCCAGTTTACCATTAACGTAAGTTTGAAAAGCACAGTTTACTTTGCTATCTATTATGTCACATAGGTAGACGAATTTCTGGCTGTTAAGTTCCCTGAAACCCAAGGAAATTGGTATTTCTGTAAATAAATTGAATAAAGTTACAATTTTAGGATAGTTGTGTGTCACTGAGTCAGTTCTGACTCACAGGCTACTGGGTTTAAACTGCTGTCCTTACGTTAGCAGTCCAGTGCTTATCCTATAGTGCCACACCAGTGCTCACAATTTCAGGATAGTGACCATTGAAAAGTTTGTACATATTAAAGGCTTAATGCTAAAAACTGGAGGTAAACAAGACAAGGTTCTATGTTTCCAAAAAGCAATGCTTTTATTTATACAGAGTCTGAACCACTTCAGGGCTAGGAGGACTGGAGAGGTTCTTTGTCAATCCAGGGGCCTCCACAATGTTGGTCTGTTTTTACCACATCCACTGGCAAGTGGCATCATGGATTTGGTACTAATTATGTTTAGTCTCTCTCAGCTAGAGCAACAAGGTGGGTATCAATTTCTGCTTCTGTAAGAATCCTAGAAGGCAACAGGGAAAAGAAAAACAACTATTTACTTTTAAAAACCTTATGTTAAAAGGAAAATTTCAAGCAGTTATGTTTAATGAACTCCTTGCTATCAAAAGACAATGTATGTATCCAAGAATGTCATCACTATCAATCTATGGCCAACTTTAAAAAATCTATACACCTACCCCTCCTTCCTATTCTGAAGGAATTCCCAGACTTAGAGAATCCATCTATATATAAAAGTACTTACTTCTTTGATACCAATCCAGAATTAGTTTTTCTGAAAACAAAGCCTTTTTGGTTGCAGCTATGATATTTAAACTGAGTAATAGAAAGTAATGTATTCTATTTCAGACCCTATGTTAACATACAAATTCAATTCCCTGAAGAGTCTAGTAGCAAAAGAGACTTCATAATGAACATGCTTTTTTATAAATGATGTTTTCCCAGAAGGGAACCAACTGCTTGGCAACCTTGTTAATGTGACCAATATTCACCTGACTGTTTAACTAGAGGTAATTTTAAGTAATTTAACTAGAAGTTGATGCTTATGAAATGTATCAACAAATCGGGCTGCTAACCTCAAGGTCAGCAGTTTGAAACTACCAGCAGTTCCTCAGGAGAAAGATGAGAGGCTTTCTGCTCCCATAAGGATTTATAGCCTCGGAAACCCTACATAGGCTCACCTATGAGTCGGGACCGACTCCATAGTACTTAACAACATTATAAAAAATCTAATTTCAGACCTTTACTATCTATTTCAGTAATCAATGGAAATGAAAATTTAAAGGTCATTATAGGAGGTGGACTGAACGGCACTTAACAACAACATAGGAGGTAGAAAGGAGCTCGGTAATGTAGTGGTTACGAGTAGGGATGTTATCTCAAGGTGAGCAGTTCAAAACTACCAGCTGTTCCACGGGATAAAGATGAGGTTTTCTGCTCCTATAAAGATTTACAGCCTTGAAAAGCCTATACGAGGTCGCTATGAGTCAGAACGGAGCCCTGGTGTGCCGCTGTGGGTTAATGTGCCAGACTGCAAGCCGTTTGTACTGCAAAATTGGCAGTTCAAGTGCACCAGCTGCTCGTTGGGAACCCTATACAGGAGAACTATAGGGCAGAACCGACTCCATGGCACATAACCACCACCATAGGAAGTGGACTCCTGGTGTGGTGCTGTAAGATCAGCACTGGCCTGCAAAACTACCAGCATCTCAGAAACCATATACAGGGTCACTATGAGTCGGAAGAGACTTGACAGCACTAGGAAAAAAAGAAAACAAGAACTGTTTCCCAGTCATTTGCAAGAATTTGTAAACTGCTTCTGCTAAAAAGGCAAGGAAAAAATAAGCAACCATTTCTTACAGGAAAAAAAGTTGAATGGACTCAATTCTGGTTGTCATTTAAAATATTATATTAATACTTTCCTACAGGCAACAAAAAGAACTAGAAAAATATTAACCAAAGTTTTAAGGTCTGCTTAAACAGTTTTTTCCCATGCCCAGGTGTCCCTAAGGTTGTGATCTACAAGCAAAGCACGCAGTAGTTACAGTGCCTTGCCATATAGCTCCTTGCATCTGTGAATTTGAGTATTTTCACTATTCACACAAGAGCTCATAGGGTTGCTGGGAGAACTGAATAAGCTGGTATCTATTAAGCACTCAGTATGGATTTCAATCATGGAGTTGTAGACTATTGTGTGGGAGTTAGTCTCTAAGTGAGTAAGAATAGGCATCCAGCATCTATAATTTAATTAGCTATATTCAAATTTGGTGTTTCTCCAACATCTCCAGATAGAGGTCTAAGGTATATCAGTGTTTCATATTACTCTTCCAAGCTCCACTTAAATAACCCATTAATAATCAAAGCTCTACCTGAAAAACTTGAGGGACTTTAATTACTGTTGGCCTTAAAATAAAAATCACTTCTGCTTACTTTACTCTGGACCCAAAAATGGTTATTTTATGTCACTCTTGGTAATAATATATAAAATCATGCTGAAATGAGGCGAAAACCTTATGTCTGTCTTAAAGAGACATTCAATAAATTTTAAAACAGATCTCTCAGGTGGTGAAGAAAAACACTGTCATCATCATTAAAAAATATTATTCCCGCAAGTATAGGACAAGTGGATCCACACCCCCACCTTCCTAGTCTGAACTTCAGCACCTGCAAAATTCTTTAAGCACACTGTGAATGATTCACCTGAATTTAGGATTTTCAACTGTAACTACTCCAACTTCAATTTCAGAAGGTTTGAAATCAATTGACAGCACAGTAGACAGGCATGTAATTGCAGTCTGAAACAAAAAGCAAAGGAAGATACATTAATTTTGAGAGATTCTAAGGGCTTCTCAATGCTTTTTAAAATTGAGTTTATTCAAACCAAGTATGAGTTAATCTGAAGCAATTCATTTTTGTTCTGTATTTTCAGCGATGCAGTTCTACAGTCATATGTTATTAATAGATTGCACAACTGTAGTATGTCACCTGCCAATAATAAGAAACTTGTTTCTACCAAGTCAAACCCCAAATTAAAGTGATCCACCAAACAAAATAGAACTTAATACAAAATGGGTTGTTTAATGATCACTCTACACTGGGCACACCATGCTCGGACTTGGCTGATAGAGGACAGAACAACACTGATACTCCACCTTTAGAGAATTTATAGTAACAACAACCTGAGAATGTTTTAAATGATATAGATATGGTTATTATTTATGTACCAATCATGAATTGCAATTAGGAAAACACAAGAAAACAAAAAATTTAAACATATAAACAGGGCACATATGTCTTCCAGATGAAAACTAGCTTTACATTTTCTATTAAATATAAAACATAAGAGGAGGCCTCAAAAAGTTTATGGAAAAATTCCTTCTCTTTCATTTTCCCACTAACTGTCTGAAGCCCCTGGTACTGTCAGTCAAACATAAAAGGAACAGACGGTAATTTTTCCTTTGCTATTTATCAAGAAGCATGTTGTTAGTCTTCAGAAAGGCTTTATCCCAGATATCCATCCACATTCAAAATCTATTAAAAATGTTTTTAATCTCTTGGCAGTAGCTAAGAGACTTCTTTACAATGTAAAGTTACTAAATATTTGTATGAGAATTTGAGCTTGTCTTGTCAATTTAATATTTTTGAACCATAATGAGTAATAATTCTCTCAAGAAAATGGTTTCATTGTAAATCTTAGCAGATTTAATTTCTCTGCCAAGTCATCATGTAAGTATATTATTTTGTTATGAAGATGGTTCCCTCAAATGCATTCCTCATAATTTGGTGTTTGGCTGTTTTTCCTTTAGGACCGGAGAGCAATATTGACTTCCTCTTTTTACTTTCGCTTATGTCTCAAGTACAGCAACCATACTGTAAGTCTTTGGGACTGGTTTTGATTATTATTTCTATTGTCCTATTGCATTATCTCTTTTGTTGAAAGCTAATTCAAATACATTACAAACAGAGATTAAGTGAATAAAGCAGTCCTCTTGTTTCCATGTCAGCTGAAGGACATCGATTTTACTATGAAATCAACAGACTTAGATCTCAAGATCTTCAATATTCTACAGAGCACAAAAACACCAGTTCCTTTTTGCTAACTTACTTCAACTGTCTGCTCAAATGTCCAATCAAATTTTTTCTTCACTTTTTTTTCAAGGAAGCTGATTGACTCCGTTTGTTTAACTCCTGCTGCAGTGGCTTTAAACCCACAGTAGTAACCTGCAGGGTCACACTTGTACACCTGAGGGCCTTGTTCTTCATCGATGCCAATTAAGATCATACCTGAAAAGAAAAATAAGATCCTAATTAAATATCTTGAAACTTTAATGCAATTTCTACTTTCTTGGTGTTGTCACCATCAATTTTAATGTGTTTTGATTTAAGAAAACTGACATACAAAATTCAAGTTCATCATAACACATAAACTAGGTAAGAATTGAATTTCTAACTCACAAAAGGATTTATCACAGCTATTTAAGAAATCACTTGAATTATTATAAATTTAATTTCCAATCCTTGCTATCACCTTTGACTCCTAATATTTCAAAATGTTGCCTGCTCAAACAAATTTGGAAAACATACTTTTAATATAATCTCTTTTGGAGACAAATGGTCTGCAATAGCATATTCCTCTGCTGCAAAGTAACCTATTTAGCACAATAGTTCTTAGGAGAAAACAAGAAACAATTCTTTACTACAGGTTCTTGCTAGATGAGTAGAGTTTAAAGGGGCTAAGGAGTCCTGGTGTGTTGCTGTAAAATAAGCATGGCATTGCTAACCACAAGGTTGGTGGTTCAAATGCACCAGCCACTCCTTGGGAATCCTGTAAAGGCCTGCTATGAGTTGGAACGGACACAGCTGCACTTAACAAGAACATGAAGGAAAATCAAGGCAAAAAGGAATAGCATGGAGCCATGAAAGGGTAGGATGCACTACAGGATGAGAAGAAGATCTGAACAGTGCAGGGGCTTCAGATGAGAGAGGAAAGCAGTACAAGGGAAACTAATGGGAATATTTATAAAATCGCATGCACTGGTTCCCCTATAGCCCAGGAGGAAGCAGTTTTTACTAGGGAACCTGAAAATTAGGTTTTAAAATGGCAACTCATTCAGCCACTTGGAAGCCAGAGTAGGAAAGGGTGAGAAGAAAGAGGTACACCAGGTAGGCAGCAAAGGTAAGTCAATAAGGAAATGAAGAGGAGATAGGGGTAAACTTGATGACTGAGCAGAGCATCAGGGACAGGGATGCAGACGTTAGGAAAGATAAGGTGAGGACAGAAAACAGTAATGATTTTAAGAGCAAAGTATCTGAGGGGTACTGAGGACGGAGTGATTGTCACGAAAGTAATAAATGAAGCGATGATGGAGGTGGGGTCACCCAAGTAGACCAAAGAGAAGATGCAGCAGAGAACCCTGGTGATCAGCAGAAAAGAAAACTGAGGAAGAGGAAGCATATCATTGAAGGAATCAAATGAAAAGCAATTTTTTAAAGTGAAAGGTCAACAGGGTCCAATGCTAAATAGAAATCAATACAGTGATGCCTTATTCACACATATGAATAACACAATATTAGAAACAAGAAAGCACTGAATTTCTAAAGCTAATTTATTGCATTAAATCTAAAATCAAAAAGTCTTATCCCTTTCCCAATGAAATTTTACTTGCTTTTAAAAACAGAAATTTATTCTAAAAATAGAATCACAGCCTTGTTCTTTAGGTTGGTCAAAATAAACAGTTATATTTTCAAGAAGCCTAATTTAAGCTTTCCCATGAAATAAGTAGTCTAGACTTGCAAGTACCAACTCATAGCAACCCTATGCACAACAGAACAAAACACTGCATGGTCTTGCACCAACCTCACAATTATTGCTACTACCACTGTGCCAATTCATCTTGTTGGGGGTCTTCCTCTTTTTTGCTGACCTTCTACTGTACTAAGCATGATGATGTCCTTTTCTCCAGGGACTGGTCCCTTCTGATAACATGTCCGAAGTATGAGAGACGAAATCTAATAGCATCTAAAATTTAAACACTGATATAATTGTCAAACCTATCCTTCATCTTTGATGTATAATGAAAATTTCCCTACCTTATAAAATTTCAAAACTAATGTTTGGAACCCATCAATGATTTGGGAGACTACTTCATATACTTACAACAACCAAGAGGCCTCATTTCAGCATTCTGTGTGTAGACCTGAGAAATATCTGCAATTCTTTTACATAGCATGTCCACAGGAATCTCATAGCCATACTTGTATTTCCAATTAGCTGCCTCATAGCGAGCCCTCTGTACCTGGGACCTGCTGTCAGCTGATAGGATAAAAAACAAGGTTTTATTCCTTTTGAAGGAAAGAATGAATCTCAAAGACAGACAATTTCCCCACTACATGTATATCTATTATGATTAGGAAAGGAAAAGTGGCCCACTCTGGTCAATAGCTCAGCAAAAAAAGACATGACTTAAAAATGAAAATTTTTAAAAAAGGTTTTTATACATAGCACATCCATTTTATGCTGAGCCTTTCATTAGCTGTTAAAATAGTTTCTACAAGTGTAGAAACTATTGTAATAACTCTCAAAAGAACAAGCTTTATGAGAGAGAATGTTTATCTGATTTTGGGGGTGGGGGGAGGTGTGAGTGTAGTCTTGACTATTTTCCTTGTTTCAGAAAACAAACGCAAAACAATTTTTAGAATTCTTACCCATTTCTAACAAGTGTAATAATTACCAGGTTTGAGAAATATTAGTAGATCCTCTTAAAATATTAACTATATCTACAATAAGAAAAATCATGTGAGATATGCCTTAGTCCAGTTTCCCTGACAGTGGCAAAAAGGCCTAATTCCAATACATTGTAATTTCAAAACTCACAATACTCTGAATCTTGGAAAACTGCAAACCTACTCATTAAGTTCCTAATCAAAATGAAAACAAACAGACCAAACCCCATTGCTATCAAGTCAATTCTGACTCAACAGCAGCCCTACATGGGGTTTCTGAGGCTGTAACTCTTTATGGGAACAGAAAGCCTTTTCTCCTGTGGAGCCGCTGGTGAGTCTGAAATGCCCACTTTGCAGTTAGCAGTCCAGCTTACCCGACAGTGCCCCCAGAGCTTTTCCAAGTCACTAACACATGCAAAGCCACTACCAGAGTCAATCCCGACTCAGGCTTTATGGAAGGAGACAGCCTCATCTTTCTCTCACAGGGAGGCTGGTGGATTTGAACCACTGACTTTACAGTTAGCAGCCCAACACCTAACCCACAGAACCAAATTCAAAAAACATTTTGAAAAAATGTAATGTGAGGCTTGTGTATCTAAGTAGGTGTTGAGTTGGTTACCTGTCATTCCTGTCATCACACAGCCAATGTTTTCAGTTATCTTGAATAAGTGAGTCACTGTGCTGGAATCCAATAATTTGTCCTAATGAGTAAAATAAATAAAATGATTTAAAAAAAATTATAATCTTTAGTGTAGCTATTAAAAAAGTGATACTATATAACTATAACTGCATAATAATGTCCCATGTTCATTTAAAGGTAAATCTAATGGGGGGGGGTAGGGGGGAGGAAGTCAGGTAGAAATCTGGAGTTAGGCTAGGTCTAGGATAGCTAGGCCCAGAACTTCACTTAGTGTTAAGGTTATGATTAGGGGTTGGGCTTGGGCTAGGAGTAAGTCTTGGTCTAGTTACAGTTAGGTATTTGAGATCTACTTGATTTCCTATTTGGAAGTTCTATAATTATATTATTTCCTGTTTTTACTTTGAAGGGCTTTTTTCTTGATGTTGCAAACTTTTCTCTAGCTCCTTACTTTCAGTCTTACATGTTTCTTTTACTTTGAATACTTCTGTATCTGGATTGGAGTAGTGGTATGGTGCTGTAGGATATCCACTAGACCGATAACTGTAAGGTTGGTGGTTCAAATCCACCAGCTGCTCCTTGGAAACCCTATATAGGGTTACTGTGAGTCAGATCCTACTTAAAGGGACTTAACAACATCCAGGATGAGTTCTGGGTTATATTGTCACATGTTATCTCAGGTTATCTGCTCTTGTTGGTTCTCTGTCCAAAGAACTCCCTTTAGTGGTATTTATAAGGTTGGTCTGATTTTTACAAAAATTTAAAATTTCTGTTTATCTGAAAATGTCCTAATTTCACCATCATATTTGATGGGCAATTTTGCTATCTTGATTCTTGGTTGGAAATTTTTTTCTTTTAGTATTTTATATATATTATTTCATTGTCTTCTTGTGTACATGGTTTCAGCTAAGAAATCAGAACTTAAGAGTCTTATTAGTTCTCCTTTATAGGTAACTTCATTTTTCTTCCTGAATCTCAGGATTCATTCTTTGTCTTTGGAGTTTGTTATTCTCTCTCTGATTTTTTTTGGTCTCTTTCTGTTCTGAGTTATTCCTCTTAACTATATCCCACATACATCTTAGGCTCTTAGGCTTTCTTTGTTTTTTTTCTGATTGTTCCTTTAGCAGAGATTTGTCTTCAAGCCCATTAACTCAGCCCTTCCACTGATGCAAATCTATTTCTTTGCCCTTTCAATGTATTATTTATTTCTGAAGTCTTAGTATTATTCTTCTGGCTTTGTAATTGCTGTTTTTGTATGATTTCCAATTTTTCGTTTGTCAATTTATTTTTGTAGTGTTTCTCTGAATTCCTTTGAAGTTTTGTCTGTGTTTTCCTCTGAAATTTTCTTGGTCATTCTTGGTCTTCATTCTGAAGGTATCTAAATATCTTATTTAAAATTCCTTAGGCAATTCTGATACCATTTCTGCGATTACATTTTCTTATTTTGGTCACTTGTTTGAGGTACTCTGTCATACATCTTTGTATAAGCTGAAATTGTGTTTTCTCTGAGACACTGTGGTATTGTATTTATATTTAATTGATAACTGTATGTTGATGTGTTCTCAGGCATTCACCACCTGTATTCTGGTGGATGTGATAGAGAATGGAAGTGTGTACACAGGTCTCGTTCTCAGTTCACTGTTTGTGTGGGTTTAATTCAGGGCGGGTTAATGAGGCTTCAGACTTGGGGGTGGTACACCTGGTGTCCATCCCTAGGCAAAGCAAATGCTGCACAGGAGACAGAGAGACACTGGCTGTTAAGTGGGCAGGAGCAGGAGATAGCCATGTCTCTAGATAGATACCAGTGGTGGTGATGGTGGTTATGTGCCATGTAGTCAGTTCCGACTCATAGTGACCATGTACAGTGTTTCCAAGGCTGTAAATCTTTATGGGAGCAGAAGAGTGCAGGAAACAAGGAAAAACCTCACCTTCCACACTGACAACATCCTGTATATCTCTAGGCCGCTGTACTGACAGCTGCCTATAAAAGCTGAAGATGACAGTACTGCACCAGGCCAGCCAACAGGCCACCACCCATCTGTCTCCTCTCCAGCCATTCCTGCTCAGCTTTCTCTTCTAGTCAGCACTCAATTCATATCTCTGTCCCATTCTCTGAATCTCAAGGGTCCAGAATGACCATGGGGTTCTGTTTCACTTGATCTTTTGTGTCTCTGGTATAGAGAATCTGCTCAGTGTGTCTGTCTACTCCAACATCTTGCCCCGGAAGTCTAAAAACCCAAATTTTTAAAAAAGGAGAGAGAGTACCCATTTCTATACAATCTATTCCCTGTGAACAAGAACTGTACCTCACCAAAGATTGTCTTGTCCCTATGACAAAGGACTTTGAGATCCTAATGTGCTTATAACCATACCATAACGCTCAATATATTAATTGTCTGTTCAGTTAAATTGTATATAGATAGGTGCTCAATAAATATTTCCTGAATGACAGGAAAATAAAGTCAAAGCACACACAATGTTATGTTATATAGGTACCAATATATTTTTGTACAAACATATGAAAAATTCTTGCATTATGTTCAATAAGACTTGGCTATTCGGGAAGAATTACTTACAGGTACTTTCTTCTGTGTGACAATGACGGCACAGTCCTTCCCTCTGACAGCTACTGATGTAAGACCACCCTGGTTAATTGCCTTAAAAGCATATTCTGGAAAAGAGAATTTTTTTTTTTTTTTAATAGAATAAGTCACACAGATTCACACATGGAATAATATACAGTTATTTAAAAAAAAAAAAAAATGAAGTAGAGACAAATGAATGGAGATGGTATACCATCCAAGACATGTGAAGTTAATGATACCAAATGAAAACTGCAATCTTCATGAATGAAGCAGACTGCAAGACAACAGTATTAGCAGACATAAATAATGGTATAAGAATAAATTAATCAGAAAAACATACAATCACTAATCCATGTAAAGTACTTAATAAGAGCTTTAAAATACTTGAAAGAAAAATTAACAAGATTAAAGTGGTTAAGTGGCCATTACCACAATTATTGTTAAAAAGATTTTAACACTCCTAGTCAAACAATTGTTAGAAGTATGGACAAAAAGAGTGGGCATACATGATCTGAACTATGCCATCAATCACCTTGACCTAGCTGATACTTTTACAAAAT